CGTTATTCCTTTTACGACCCGATAACCCTAGCAACCTGACCCCACGTTCAACTGATAAACCGACTACATATATTGCTTCCCATCCACACGAACACATCATTCTGCCATGTCAGAGCATACAGCCTGTATACATTTCAGAGCATTCTGCAACTGCGTTCAGTGTTGGCCATACTCAGCTCAGTGTCCGACCAGCGATCTCTGTGCAGCCATCGTCCATCAAAAGCTACTCGACGGCGTTCTCTTTAACGTAGTCGACGAGTGGGAAGAGGAAGAGCAACTTCAAACTTTACTCGAACAAGAAGACACCACTCCTGGCCCTGTTCGGGTGAGTGTTATAAACCATACCAATGACTTTACAATGGACCAACCAAGCTCCATCCAGACAAACCTGGCCATCCTTCACAACCCCAACGGGAAGACGATTCACCTACCTCCCAGGAGGTACGTACTATTCTCCACCAGCCCGACACAGATATCCAACACAGCCCTCTCCCTGTACGCGGATTATGTATCCAACAATCATCTCCTCATCACAGCCCCAGAACCCCTATCGACTCTAACATCCCACATCCAGTTATTCCAGATAGTAGACAACAGTCAGGAGGAATATCAATACATTCTCTCATTGACAAACACATCATCCAGAATCCTTCACCAACGCCTGTTCGCGACGGCGATAGATGTTCTCAAAATCCTACCTCGAACAACGATGATTCAAGAAGGAGACGCCAAACAACATCCCATTGCATACAACACGGAAACGACAGACGAGGTGATATCAGCCCTCCTCCTATCAAAAGAACAAAAGGATCACCTAAAGAAAGACGTCCAACCTCCTCCGACAATCCTCGACGACCTCAACCTACATCTCCTCTTCCAACACCATCGACCTCCGATACTTCCTCAGTCTCTGGACCAGACAATACGGACGGAGGCTATCCCACAAATACATCCACATATACCTTCATCCTCCACAGGCGAACCTTCGAGGCCCTCCCCCCAACAACAAGACGCTCCCCATCCTTCGCGGTCTTCGATCACGGAGACCACATCCACATCATCTTCTGCGTCAATCACTCCAACAACTCATCCCGCCACCTCTCCACAATCCTTAAATTCCTTCACGTCAACTTTGAGGGAATTGCAGAGGCTCATTCATCGCTACAACTCGTCCGCTACTTCACCAGATTCATATCGTATCTCATCCGTAAGGGTCTCGGAACATTCTATAAATATGGATGTAGAGCTCTCCCCATCCTCAAACCCCTAACCGACGCCCTTCTCCATTATGATATGACAGACGCTCCAACATCCTCTCCTATGGCTTGTGAACAGTATATAGAACAAAAAAAGCAAGCCTCCAAAGAATCCGTCACCCAAAGAACGTTCTCCATCGACTACATCAGTTCCTTGATAACCGAAAACAAAATTACATCCTATGAATCGTTCCAGAGAACCTTGCCGACCGAGACCAAAATTCAACTCTTGAAACAGCTCGGCTATGTCGGGCAAAATATCATCAAAACTCTCATCAAAATTCACACGATCGAGGCTCTGCAAACCATCAAGACCAAACATTATTACCAGCTCATCATCGACTCCTTCGATCTCTCCCTCGTCCAGCAATCTAACGTCTCCTGGTTTACGCGCCTCTTTGCATCCAATAGCATCTCCGTCGATTCCTTCTTCGCAAAATTCCTCATCATCCACTCTACAAATATCACCAAGATCAATACCCTCGTCATTCACGGACCAACAAATACCGGCAAATCCCTCATCTTGAATCTTCTTCTATCCGATACAAAACCCACGCGAATAGCGCGCGAACGAGATAAATCAAACTTCCATCTCGATCAGCTTCCAAACAGTACTGCCGTACTCTTCGAAGAACCTATCATCGATCAGACAACCATCGGTACCTGGAAGCTGCTCCTCGAGGGTTCTCCCATCCCCACGGATATGAAGCACTCGGACAAGGAGATCATCAACAGACTCCCCGTCTTCATATCGACCAACCAGCCCATCTGGAACTGGGTATCGGCTGAGGATGTCTCTCCCCTGAAACAACGTCTCTTCCAGTTTGATCTGACCACCCAGATCGCAAGCTTCGTCGATAGAACAGGCATCATCCCACAACCACCATCCATCATCACCAAACACGATCTTTATGCCCTCTTCCTCCACCACCTTCAATCCATTCATGATGAATACATTTCCCTCCTAGCTTCGCTTCCCATCTCTGAAACATCAAAACCATACTCAAATTCCCAAGTGGATAAACTCCAGCAACTCCAAATTCAACTACTCTTGCAGGATTCATCCGACGCTATTTCAAGAGCTGGAGAAATCGAGGATGTATGAACCTCAAGATGATAGACCAGCTAAATGCCAAAAACCATCTCCTGTGACAGCCCACGGACAAACCACACATCAAGTAGAGCTCGATGGCTACGGAAAACACATGCATCCTACTACATCTACAATTCCCATCCCAATCAAAACCACACATGTCCACGGAGAGATAAAACGATCAATGTGGATAAACATCTCGTTCTGCGAGGCGGGACCCTGCTCGATGGCGATACCATATCATTTACTTCAGTTCTGGATAGGAGTCGACGAACAAGAAAACAACACCCTCAAGACTTTCAACATCCTATCTAACGCCGCCTACGGTATAACCTGGCACGAGTTCAATCTATCCATCTACAATCAGGCGACGAGGAAACGCCTACTCACCCAGGGTTCAACTACATACGAGACCATCGACTTTGAAACATCACAAAACCTCATGATATTAACCGACATCAACAACTCCCACACGCCATCCGTTCTCTGGCCCGATGACTTCATGCCCCCCGGAGCAAAGTTCAGGTCGGCAGATCTCCAATCCGGCACATACTTCTGCAAGACAGAGGAGCTGGCAACAGGGCATACCAAAACATTCTCCTTCACGCCCGAAAAACTACCATCATCGTATGTCTGGGAACTCATCCACATCGACAAAACAGGAGCGCATGCCGATAAGATGTTTCCCGCTCGGCAACATACTAACTCCTTCCAAGCTAATGACATCCCCCTCATCGCAGCAACAACATCTGGCTTCACATCCATGCACATCCAATGGAAGCCTCAACCAATGCCACTCATCGTCTTGGACTCCCCTCACATCCTCAGCGAGAGCGGTAACATGAAATTTATCTATAGGACGAGATGGGATTACACTATTCCATATACTCTACACGATGCCATCGTCTGCTACAGAAAAATCATACAACAAATACATCACACCATATCCCAAAGCTAAATCCACACCATCTTCCGGCGATGCACCTCGTGTTCATCTCTCCTACATCGCAACTCCCAATTTACTTTAAACATCCTATCTTTCACATCGTGGACTAGGCCTACTGGGGATACCACGTTAAAAAAAACGACGCACGGTCGAGCCGCAAGGCGCGTTGGAATCGACCATCCCATAAAACCTGCAATCCTAAGTGTCTGCCATCAGTATCCCGTGATGCACCGAAAAATCAACCTGAGATGTCGTGGGGGTGTGTCCGCTTGTCGTATCATGCATATAAATCATATACCAGGACCACGCAGGTAAGTACCTGATCTCTATGCCTTCGATGCACCGAAAAATCAACCTGAGATGTCGTGGGGGTGTGTCCGCTTGTCGTATCATGCATATAAATCATATACCAGGACCACGCAGGTAAGTACCTGATCTCTATGCCTTCGATGCACCGAAAAATCAACCTGAGATGTCGTGGGGGTGTGTCCGCTTGTCGTATCATGCATATAAATCATATACCAGGACCACGCAGGTAAGTACCTGATCTCTATGCCTTCGATGCACCGAAAAATCAACCTGAGATGTCGTGGGGGTGTGTCCGCTTGTCGTATCATGCATATAAATCATATACCAGGACCACGCAGGTAAGTACCTGATCTCTATGCCTTCGATGCACCGAAAAATCAACCTGAGATGTCGTGGGGGTGTGTCCGCTTGTCGTATCATGCATATAAATCATNCATGTTAATCAGCGATAGTTTGTGATAACTGAAAAGTAATTGGGAGTGTGTAATACAGTGACACTTATATAGCTCCCGTACTGTGAATATGTGTAGACTAATGAAGATAGAGTGAACAGATTATTGCGAATGGGTTATAAAGTGTGAAACTCCACAGAGTGAAGAGGTTATTGCGAATAGGGTTATAAAGTGTGAAACCCTGCAACAGTGTTATAATCAATTGTAGTTACGACTTGTAAGTTGTTAAATAAACCAATTAACAATCTGAACGGCGTCTTCAGTAGCGAAACACATTACAATATATATAATACAATTAACATAGATGAGCAGTGAATCTCAGTATATGATTGTCATACTGGTTGGGTGTAGTATCTGTGTGTGTACTGCACTGGTGGTTGTTGCGGCGAAATGGAGGGCTTTGTACAGATATAACTGTCTACAGTGCACTTCATGCTAAATGGAAAACTGCCCTAATGGAAATTTCTTTTGGCCCTGTGAATTTGGCATAAATACTAGTATAAATCCACCCGAAATAAACTGAAACTAATGCAGAGATCTTAATATAAATTATTCTTAATGTATTACATATGTTTTCCCCAATACTGTTGGAATTAGTTTCTCCAATTTCCATACTGCAATGCAATCAGTCATTTTTTTTATAGAGAGTTGCATAATTCGCCGCTTTGAACTTTTGCTTAGTGGGGGGTCGAGTCCAACTGGGTACGCTTGGCACAGCGGCCACTGATTGGCCTATTGTAGCCTCCCCCGGGTGATTATGATGGAGAATTTGGTGGAATGAAGATTGGCAGGGGAAACCGAAGTACTCAGAGAAAACCCGCCCCAGCGCCACTTTGTCCACCACAAATCCCACTTGACCAGACCCGGGATCAAAACTGGGCCGCCGTGGTGGGAAGCAAGCGACTAACCTAGCTTTGAACTTGCTTGTACATTTGTTTGTTTTGTTTGATTGTTGTTAATGAACTGAGTTACTTCATCTTGTAAGTTGTGTTTACTTATTATAATTATTCTTCCACCTGCATCTGCTTCTGTTATTCTTATATTATTCTCTTTCATTTGTTTTATTTGACTGTTGTTAATGTAGTAAATTTGTTTTGTACTGTTTTGTTATATTTCATACACTGTTTTCCCTAGGAATCTAATGGCTTGTTGCTGATTTTCATCTATTAATTATATAGTGTTTTTCAGTTTCCATTCCCAAATTTTTAATGTCATTTGAAGGTGGTGTTTCTGTGTTATATTTGCATCCACCTTTTATTGGGTTCTCTTTGTTATAGTAAATTTTATATTTCATAGTTATAATTCTTAGGTAGAACCATACATTACCATGAGATTTGTCAATACAACCAACATTATATAAACCCACCCTCCACACAACATCGACATCGTAAACTCCAGAATAGAAGCTGATACTAAACCCAACCAACATGGATATCAGGTATCAAATTTACTACTCATCTATATTAATTACGAGTATATTATGCCTACGTTTGACAACATCGTATGATGAATAGTAAAACACCTTTTCCATATTATACTTGCAAACGTTATTAATAAACAATAACATAAACGGCTGAATATCACACAAGAAAAACCTAAGATATGATGTGCAGCAATGCTTTTATGCTGTATACAAGAAAGACCTAACAAACTATAATCTTACTCCAAAAATTTTTACACAACACTATTTTTATAAGAAAATTATAACTTGTATGAAACATATTTTAAGATTTCCAGAAAGTGTAAAGCTAATTTCCTTTTATTGCAGTTCCTGTGAGGATAGCCACAAGGAGCCAGAACATGTAAGGTCATATATTGAATCTGATATACTCTATTAAATTTGTTATAGTGGATGCCTTATTTTTCCAGTTATGTAAAAAAGAATGTTCAAAATTAGAAACAAGGGATAGAAAGATCTGAAATAACGCAGTTTCATCCGAACATTGAACGTTGGCATAGCAAGCACTTCACTCTGTGCAGGCACATTATTCTCACAAGACTTGTTGTTGCAGTAGTAATTTATTCATCTTTTCTTTCAATTTCTGGGTGCCTCTTCTGTCATGAAGCCCATGCTGATGTATGAATATTTCTTTATAGCGTGGGTGTGCTAATATTTTTGCTCATAATTATGTGTTGCCCTACAGTTATGGCACAACCAATGGGACTGACAAGATCAGTTATAATTTGGATGTGACACAAACTGTCGTTTCAGCATCAAGCAGTCTGCCCTTGTGAAAAATGCAATAGAATGTAAATCTGAATTTCACTCCAAGAGTTATTCATGATAAAAATGGGCTGAATGCTGTTATATGGAACCACCAAATCAGTCCTATGAACTGGAAAGGTTAGCATGGCCTGCGCAATTCTTAATCTCATAATATTGAGACTAGAAGAGTTTCACCAAGAAGGGAAAATCTGAATGTGGGCGAAAGGTCAGGGTGTTCGCAATATGCAAGTTTGTCGGGCGTGAGAATATACTAAACGATGTCCTATTAGTCGAACGTGGAGAAGTGCGCTCTTGAGGTCAGTTTGGCAGGCAGATGGGTAGTGATCGCACATGTGACCTAACAAATGACTGGGAGTAATGTAGAGTACCACTCAGGAACTAGTGAACTGCTTGCTGTCATTCACCCGTGTCTATCCATTTGTTCTCTTCCAGTATCCTCTCAAAGCAATCGGACATGAAGATGTACTGAAAAAAAAAATTAACAATACTACAGTCACTTAGGAATATTATGGACTATACAGAGATCCCAAAACAATGCAAAATAACAATCTACAAAGTATACTTCAACCTGGGCCATGTGCCAGTTTTGAATTTTCAAGACCTAAGCAACAAAAAAATTTCAATTTGGATGTTCCTTTTTCAGATAACTGTGTTTGCTATGCACAAGAGTGAGAAACTATTTGTTCGTTCAGAATCATAACGCCTTCCAACACCAGACACAAATCAACTTGACAAATCTCTCTCTGTCTTCTCACAACGAAAAAGAATATGTTACTGGAATTTAATTTCTTTTTAAATACAAAGGTTGCAATAGCGCAGTCGGTACAGCAACTGGCTACAGGCTGGATGACTGAGGAGTCAAGGCTTGAGTCCCAGTAAGGTCAAGAATTTTCACTTCTCCACATCGTCCAGACTGGTTCTGGGGTTCACCCAAACTCATATCCGATGGGTACCGCGGGCTCTTTCCCCGGGGGTAATGCGGCCGGGGCATGAATCGGACCACTCACCTCCAATTACTGTTGAGGTGAAGAAAATGTGGATCTATACATCCATTTTTTTTATGCCTTCATGGCATAGTGCTTAAAAGGATCTATTATCAATAGGGATAGGCAGTACAGTTTGGTGCACTGTAAAAGAGTGGCCAGTGTTACAAATCACATCCAAGACACTTCAACCCTGGGGAAATCATCTCCAGTACCAGGTGGGCCAGTCTGGATGCTGAGGAGAAGGAAAAAAATCTTGCTCCTGCCAGAAATCAAACCTCAGCCATCCAGCCCATAGCCTGTCACTGTACCAACTTGTTTTAAGGGTACATCCCTTCCATAACATGACAGTCTGCTGCAGATATCTATGACAGAGTTTGATCTTTTACTGTAGTTAATAAATGTATATAGAAGTATATGGATTTTGGCCATAAGAAAACAAACTCACATAAGGTGTAAAAATCTTCACCCAGCGTGGGTTCTTCTCAGGACGCTGGTACTGGAAGCAGAAAGCCATAGCTTCATCATCTACTTCCCACTCTTTAATGCTTGGCCATGCAAATTCCACCACTTGAGACTGCAAAAAATAAACAATAAAAATAAACTGCAGGAAATGAACACCAGTTAGCAGTACACATACACACACCCTACCCAGAACCAGTTTGGACCATGCAGAGAAGAGAAAATTCTTACCCCTACCACGTCTTGAACTCTGACAGAGATACTGGGTTTTCAGACTTTGTCCATTGTCTGGATTCTAAATAACTAAGAAAAAAAGCACATTTCAGAAACTGGATCTGTTTCCGTCCTCAGGCGAGGGAAGACATCTACACTGTTGGGTCCCTTAGGAAGAGCGAGCCTCAATCACTGGACCAAAACGTTGTGTTTTTTCTTAGTTATTTAGAATCCGAACGATGGACAAAGTCTGAAAACCCAGTACCTCTGTGTTATACACGATTGTCAGAACCCTTCAGTATTACACCCGCCCCCACACGCTTTAATTCCTCATGGTGTAGTGCCTCGGCTAAATTCAGCGTTATGAGTCCTGTATCCCAGGGGTACATGGGTGTTGGCTCACTTACGTCGTTTTGGATGCAGGCTCGATCGGTTAATCCTTCAGCGCAGGTTCCACATGAACTCTCTCACCGCCTGGCTTCTACTCCCTCACTACACAATTACCCCCGCCGCTGCTTTTCGAAACCACGTTCTTACCGTGATCTCGCACGGATGAAAGCAGGTACACCTACTCCCCCCCCCTGAATGCAATGGACTCACCAACCTCCCTTCTGTCCCTCGCAACAAAAGGCCAGTTCAGAGGACCATGATCCCTCCGGGGCATCTCATTTCCACAGCCAAACCCAATCGCTATGCACAAACAAATAAGACACCTCCGTGAAGGATGCGTACGGTTACAGTATCTACTTGAACTCTGATCCCCCGCCCAGTTGCTATACTGACTGGGCTACCCATTACATGTATGTGAGAATTCAAGCATTCTATTACATTATACTGAAATCAAAGAACTGCATGCTTTCGTCAAAAGCAACTTTACATATATTTGTCAAAACAATGCTATATGTAATGGCATTAAATGCATTCTGCCACCATAACATTCTTTTGCGAATACAATAAGGTAAGTTTACATCTTAACATTGGCAACAGTAACATAAGACACAAAATTTCAATATGCACCATTCTTTGATGGGGCATGCGGTAGCGTAGTTGGTTGAGACCCTATGCTGCAAGCCAGAAGGTCACAGGTTCAAGTCCCAATGGGGTGTATTTTTTTCAATTTACCTAATTCTTCCAGCTGCACTATGGCCTTAGGGTCAACACAGCCTCTATCAGAAATGAGTACCAGGAATCTTCCTGTGGGGTAAAGGGTGGCCTGTGCATAAGACTGACAACTTCACCATCTGTGTGCTGACAGTCTAGAAAATGTGGGAACCTTGACATCTCACAATGCTGTGGGCCTTCACGGTATGTTACAGGAATAGCTTTAGCTTTACCATTCTTCGACCAAAACAATTTCAACAATTTTAATAATATTTCTTTATTTTACAGCATAAAGACAATTTACAGTTTATATGTTAGAAATATGTGGATGGGTACGCACAGATACAACTAGAAGTATAATTACACTCTTCCTCATTTCACCAATAGCACAGAGCATAGAATGTTACCAACTCATACAAAAACACCTGTAAGATTTGAAGGCTGTCACACAAGCAAAGATACATTAGTCTCACATGCCAGGAGGACATCATTCTGTAGTCAGGTAGGTGGATACCAATGTTTCAGGGGCACATCCTGCCTCCATCCTCAGGCAAATCTGCCCTGAAGATGGAGCCAGCAGGCTCCTCCAAAACACTGAGGAACTGAAGATCTCACTTAGTTTTATTATGTCTTATCTCTGTGATAAAGCTTAAAGTTATATGGACATTATCTGGAGTAAACATTTCGAAAACTGGATCCGCTGCCAAAACACTGTGAAAAGTATATACACTCCAGGCAATGTCCAATATAAATACTTGTGTAACAAATAGACCATTATAACAAATCTTTAAGAATTACAAAACTTAATAAATAAATAAATAATTAAAAATGTTGTTTTTACCTCGAGTGCTCCATCCTCTCTGCAGGCTTGTAACTTAAAGCTAGCAGCTCCAACTGAAGCAATTACATGTCCTTCTTTACGAGAATCACAGCAACAATGCGGAAATACTATCGTCCCATAACCTGTGAGTTCGCGTGCCAGCCTTAGATACTGTGAACACCAATGAAAAGAGTTCTAAGTTAATGTTCATAAGAACATAACATTACAATCACCAGCACCACCAGCACCACAAGTGTTTGGACCTCCTGATTCATTCTTGGGAGTGAAATATTGCAATTATATTTTACGGGGTCACCAAGATGTATGACTGCTATCACAAGTACTATGGACTGTCATTCAACCTAAAAGAATCTAATATGTCAATTGTTCACATCAGTCAAACATGAGAACTGTTGCACCTAATCCTATGGGGCTCTCTGTATTATGTACACCATCACAATTTAAATAATACAAGTAGACTGATTCTAAAGGGATCCGATGATGGTGCATAATACTCAGAATTACTGGGTTTTTGGACTTTGTCCATTGTATCATATTCTAAAAACTAGAGAACACAACATTTGGGAAACTGGATCTGTTTCCATCCTCAAGTGAAGAGGAAGACACCTACTCAGTTGGTTCCCTTAGAACATGGGTTGCCCAGTGATTGAGGTCAGCCCTTTCTAAAAGACCCAACAGAGTAGGAGTCTCCCCCACCCCTCATCCCCCACCTAAGGACAGAAATAGATCCAGTTTCCAAAATGTTGTGTTCCCTATTTTTTAGAATACGGGATAATGGACAAAGTCCAAAAACCTGCTAATTCTGATTTACATATTAATACTATCATACAGAAAAAATGTGTTGTCACAGGAATATGCAATTACTTCAAACTTCACAAAATTGTATTAAAATTAATGAATTTTAAAAATGCCACAAACTGTCCTAAAGAATAAAAATTATCTTTAATGGAGTTAATCTGAATGACTGATAAATTTTTATGGTATGCCATACGTAGCGAACCCATGTTTGCAAACAGGGTGTTCTTATTATCTACTAACACAAAACTTCCCCACACCACCACTCCCCCTATAACATTTATCTTTTTGCAAGCACTGTTTTGGAATTAGAGACACATTGTCTTGAAAGCCCCTGATATAGAAGTATCTATTTAATGTGATGTTTGGTATGTTCTTGTAAAAGGAACTTGGAGGTACTGTTTCTTCCTTACAACTGGCAGCCAGTTCCCACTATCTGCGGACTGTTCATCAATAAGTATGACAAACACTACAGAATCCATTTGTGTTTAAGTTTTTTCATTTGCATCATCTGTCTTTCAGAGTTTCTGTTTGCTCTTATATTTCACATTCATTGTCGTTTCTGACAATACACTTATTTCATTGTTCAAAATTATTGCATTTTGGTTCAGTTATGCTCCCTTACAGTGGTTGTCTCCCTAATGATTCCATGGTAAAGAATGTATTTTTTTTTTCTTGGCACTACAGCCCCAATGGGCCTAGGCCTACCTCCATGAACTTCTCCGTTCACTTCGGTTTTTCTAGATCTTACACGTTACACACTCGGTAGGTCTCTTTGGGCGGGTGATCAGCTCGTTGCAAGGCCTCTACCTGTACACAAACACAGAAAAGCGCACGAACACACACACACACAAACTAAACATCCATGACCTGAGTGGGATTCTATTTAAGGTTTCTTCTGTGACTACAGGTTTTGAACATTAAAACTGTGGAAAATTCTGAAAGGGGTGACTTAATGCTGACGTACCTGACTTTGTGTCACTGAAACTGAATGTTAAAACCCTAAATCAAGGAATAACAGATGGTGGTTCCTCTGTGTAAGATGATACTGTGACAGACCGGACTGAATACATAAACATGTTCCAAGCAATGAGCATCCAACAAGAGAATGACATCTGATGCTAAGTAATGGACCGGTAAACTTATCACAGCAACGAATGGGCAACAATAGGGTGTCCATTGCTATGCAATGCAGGGTGGACACGCCTGACAACAATACATGATATCCATTGCTAAGCAGAGATGTGCTTTCTGTGGGTGGTCTGTGCCGAGCCCATACAGGGAGCAGCGAACACTGTTCAAGAGATTCAACAGGGAGATCTGACAGGAAGATGTCGGTATGGGAGAAAACCAGGGCAGAGATCGGATCAGTGAACAGCAAGAGGAGAACAAACAGAAGCCTTCATGTGGTGTAGTTACAAGGAACATTACAGAGTGCCCATTGTTCGCAGTTACGAAGTGTGTGACAGTTTTCTGTAGTTCTGCCTGGCGTACTTATCAAATAAAACAGCTCTGTTAAATCCGAAATTCGTTAATTATTTGTCATGGATACCCGGACACGTGACAATATAATGGCATGGCTGCCAATGTGAAATTTAAGCAACCACTGAATGCAGTACTATTTAAAAATACATTTTTATCCCACTTTCCTTATTCTGAAAAAAAAGAAAGAAAAAAGAAAAAAAGAAGAAGGCTTATGCAATCACCATGCTGTCTGTGTGCCTGTGTATCCTCCCCTATTAAGTTCTGAATGGCTATACCAATCTTTATGAAACTCGGTATATCATGGCACCTGAGCCCATCTGAATGGTGAACTACATAAATCCCTCCCATCAGTCTGTATCTGTATATGTATCCCCTATCATTGCTAGGCTATGGCTTGGTAAAAATGTTACTGTAGCAATGAATACTCACATGGAACAACAGAATTGCTAGACATGTCATTTTCTATGTGGTGTTGGTATATACCAGACTACAGGACAGAGGTACCTGTCAGATCCAACAAGATGGTGATCTTCAGGTGATACCAGACTTTACAACAGTAAACATGCATACAGACTAAACACACGTTTAGGAACCCATGTTCCTAATAGCATGACCCTTTTCCACTGACAACACCACAGTCCACTCTCATCACTAGCCCCACTGTGACATCTGTCCTTTTTTTCTTTTGAAATTTTTGGGGGTGGGGTGAGACTAAGTCCACTTGGTACATCAGCCACTAACTGGCCTATTGTACCAGCCACGGATGATAAATGAGTATGGAGCATTTGGTGGGATAAGAATTGGCACGGGAAACCAAAACTACTCTGAGAAAACCTGCCACACCCCAAATCCCTCATGGACCTGGGGCTGAACCCAGACTGCCATGATGGGAAGCCAGCAACTAACTGCCTGACCTATGGCATGGCCATTGTGACACCTATATACTGGTCCACTCTAAAGACCCAGGCATACACGGGAAGATAATAATATTAAATAAAACTGATATTCACAAAATGGTGTTGGAGGATATAGACTGGGTTCATTTGGCCCAGGATAGGAATCGATGATGAGCTCTTGTGAATACAATAAGGTACCTTCAGGTTCCATAAATTTCCATGAGATTCCTTTTTGCTGAGCAACTACTGGCTTCTCAATATGGATTCTGCTCTATGGAATTATTACAAGGAATTATAAAGTTAGGTTTTACTGGTACATCTCTGATCTACCAACCAACTTCATGGCGCACAGCCACCCTGCAGAAGCTAGCTGTCTGTCAGCCTGCCAACAACTTCCTTCTTTCTATGAAAACAGCAAGTTCATTATGACATTTACAATAGCCCCTTTTCATTTTGTCTCCTGACCACCACACTGCAAGGATTTCTGTTTTTTCCATGTGTGCTACATATTCCTTGTAGCAGTAATTCAACTTGCTGATACGAAACAGCTGAGCATGAAAAACCATTACCTCATTTTTTCTTGATGCATCCTGAAGAGCTTTCAGTTGATATAGCCTGTCATCAGCTCTAATATGCCCTTGATTTACATCATCTACAGCTTGCCAAAAGATGAATGTCATTGCTTGATCATCAGAAGCAAGACTAAGCTCCCTGGATAGGGAGAACAGCCATTTTCGTACAGCTAAACACGTAGATGTTGCCGTACTGTAGTTCTGGATGTATAGATTATGAGGATACTCTGTGGCTTGGAGTTTTCTTTCTGAACAGAACAAAGGACATACAACACCGTCAGTCTTCACAGGACTTTATGCTACAGAATGTGCATATAAATCATTTTATGAAGAACACAGTTTTCTCGGTTGCAACACCATGTAGCTCTGAGAAAGCATGACATTTCATAGAAATATACTGACTCCATCTTCAGGGTTGAACAAACAGGACAGTTTTCCAACTGCTTCTCTTGCTTTATTGCTTTGCTTAATGTCTGACCCCAAAAAATGAAAGTGATATGTTCCTCCAAAATGTCGGCTGTTTCCAAAACTACATGGCATTAAAATGTGGAAGATCACTCTCTTCATAACGATCACAGGCAGAACTTCAAAACCATCAGATTCTTTCATGTTCACTCCAATGTCACTGCATATAAAGCACTGAAACAAAGGAAATATTGACCAATACATCAGTAAGAACTTCATAACAGTCTGGTGAGCTCAATTGGTAAGTACCCCTTCGATATAATTTATGTTATAAGCTTCTTATCAAAAAAAAAAAGTCATGTGCAATGGGTACATATCTTAGTATTTTTCTTACCAAAACAATCTTCAACAAATTACAATAAATGGATAAATTATGACAATTAAATTGTAGTTTATTTAAACACGCTGTCCATAACTCAGTCTATGTCATCTCGAAATGACTGCATGACAGTAAACAATGAACCGAAAAGGATGCAGAAGGAAGTGATCATGGCCAAGGTAAAGGCACTATTTAAGTATCTGCCCAAAGGAATGATGATAATCACAAAAAACTTTGCCCAACACACACTAGCATTACATGCTTCATGGCTGTCCTCAGTCTCTCCAGTCAGACTCCAGGACAATGCCCCAAATTAGGCCACAACTGCCTACCATTAAAATAAACCATAAATACATCACACATTGTTTTTGCAGATTTCCAAGTTACGCATAAGTTACACCCCCCACTAAGAAATACAAATAACTTAAGTAATCCCATCATTATATCAATCCTGACACCATAAGAGCCAAATACAGGATGAATTGTATAGAACCGGCTCGATGAATTTGCTAATAATTCTGCAGGTGATATATATAACTGCTCACAATTATGACATAATAATCCATGGGCTGTTCTGAGTCGAATGGTGTGCGCATGATTCGGCAAGTGGCAGCCCTTATGCTGCAAGGTTAAGAACAATGACAAAACGTGTCTGCAGTGGGCAGGCGACAGTCATGGAGTACACTGTTGAACAGCGAGTGTTTCTAATGCCTACTTGAAAACGGCGGACACTTTCAACACCTGCTCTGATCACGGCACACAATCCAAGATAAGATATGTGTAAATTACTTTAATATCTGTATGGTATATTTTATATTACACGTCATTTCGTCGGGCCAGCTCTATATGAATCACCCTGTATAACAGTAATGTCCATCTGTCAGCCTCCTTTCCTCCCAAAAAAATGTCATAGAAAAAAATTATGAATGCAAGAAATATTCCCCCAGGTGAGTTTATCTTTGGAAATATAGCTGAGGTTTGGGAGGTCAATAAAAAGGCTTGGTGCGTCCAAAAGAGTAATGACACATACTTTCACATGAGTGATACACAGACCGCCACTTCTTACATGAATTCTGAGTAAAATTTATGTCTTTGAATCGATTTGTAATATTTTTGTAGTAAATTTTATGGCAGTCTGGAAAGTCATATCTCCCAGTTCAGAGAAGACAGAGTGAGAAGTTGATATTTTACAAATTTTGATTGAGTTTTTGCAGTTCATGAGTTGAGTTTTCACTGGTTTGTGTAGAGTGAATAGCTACAATTTCATTGTATCAAAATTTCTCAACCCCAAGCCCATTAGACATGCCAATCTCTATACCACTCACAAGTTTCTCATTTTATAAGATTTTCATCGCAAATAACTGAATACTGATGTGCTTCTTACGGGTTCCCTGTTGTGTACAGTGAAACAAGAATTCACACTGTGTTTCAGCTTAGCTTAAAATACAGCAATTTATCATATGTACCATTCAGACAAATTTCATTACATATCTGAGAGATATAAAATTCTTAAGGAAGCTGCTGTGAAGAGTCTGGCAAAAAAAAAAAAATAAATAAAGTTTACATTACATTATGGCATGATGTATTTTCCATTTTATCTGTTTGAAGATAATTTTGTTGCATGTTTGAGTAATCATAAATAGTGTGTATAATCTCATACATATATATATATATATATGAAGTTCCAATTACAGGCTGATTTAGTGTGGGAATAAAATTTTCTGTATAAGATACAAGGACTATGTTTTAAGGGTCACAGAAGTCCTAGAACCTAGGAAAGTTAAAGGTAAGTAACCACCACACACAACAATAATACTTCCTGAAATTTCTGTACAGATTTTTCTGCATGAGCACACTAGTGCATGTGTTTATACATGCATGTGTGTGTGTAATACAAATATACTGTAGCTTGAAGGCCTGTTACTGGGTAAGGACCTCAAAACAAACAACAAAACAACATTCGGTGCTAGAGAACAGATTCTTAATAAGCAAGTATATGCAACCTTTACTGTGTATTCTATGCAGTCCATGATGTAATATTATAACTGAGTTGGTGCAAATGGAAGCTGAAGAATCTCCACTGTTAAGATCCATTACCAGGAAACGACTAGTAACATACTGAATAGACTTAGCATGTGCTGTAGTGGTTCATATAGTGTGAAAATTAGCGAGGCACTATAATTAAGTGTACACTCAAGTTGTGTGCTAAAGTGGTCAATAAATCCAAAACCCTGTTTACAGTCACCCTTCACGTGACAATATAAAATGACTCACCAAAATTGTATTCAACAATTTCAAAAAGATAGAAGTATTTTGCAGTGTTCCTGTTCATTCTAATCTTATCAATGACAGCTGCATACACCTCTTCAGCGTTTGAGTTCTTGCGGACGGTAACGGTGACAACTTCTCGGTCAGGTAGCAGAATTTTCACGTCTACTGGGGACACATTACCCTGCACAAATCAAGGATCATGACTGTATGAGATCTGCGGTACTCACAGTGGTGAATATTATGACTGCATTCTTCTGGATTGTGACATTGCCATATTCTCTTAGACGCTTATGAACATTAGGAGTCTGTCTTCAGGGCCAAGTCTCAGAAGATGGCAGTATTAAAAGATAGGCATATCTGAGAGTAACTTTTTCAGTTCAGTTTGATGTGAGAATGGAAGAATGTTGTGAATCAAGACATGAATGAGAACTTTCTCTAATAGATTAACTTTTTAATTACTAGGGGCATTCAAATATGATTGACACTAAATGTTTTTTCTTCAGAGTAACCATTTATTGGAAAAAATACATACAGATTATATTAGAGGTATTCCCCGCCAATGTCATTGCACCTTTGCCATCATTCCAGCAGTTTCCATATTTGCACAGCAAACCATTCTTTAGGGGTATCCTGGCGCCACTGCTGGACAATTGCCTGAAGCTTGTTGTTGGAGGTGAACGTCTTACCCCGCATGACGTCTTTCATTGCATCGAATAGAGCACAGTTGCTAGGGGCAAGATCAGGGGAGTATGGTGGATGAGGCAGCATGGTGTACTCTAGATCATCCAGGGTGGCAATGGTCTGCCGACTGCCATGTGGCTGTGCATCATCATGTTGGAGAAGAATGCCGTGCCTCCATGTTCCATGGCGGCATTGATGAATGTGTTGGTGGAGTTGGTGCAGTGAATTGCAATACCGATCACTGTCGATGGTCGAACTGGGGGGCAGCCAATCCAACAGAAGGATCCCCTCCTGATCCCAGAACACAGTCACCATTTGCTTCCAGACAAATAGTCCCCGTCATGACTTCTTGGGAGGAGGGCTTCCAGCATGCTTCCACTTCATGGACATAGACATACGGCTGCTAACCTTGTGTGAATGTGTGGAGCAGCCACTCCTTCCCTCCAGAGAAACCACACAGTCCGCCGTTGCCCATGATTGTCTGATTCCATGTTGTCTTGAGCACTGTCCATGACTGCATCTGCACACCACCACGAATGACGCAGCACTGTTCGACCTGTGCGCAGTAGCAATGTCATCTCATGACCATAGGCAGCACTATAGTATATCTTCCCACATACGCTGGCTTTCATTTGACACTGCTACTTTTCTGGAGTTATGGAGGTAGTGTCAATCATTTTTGAACAACTTAAATACAAGCACATTTTATAAAACCAGTGACTTTTTCACAACGCATTGAACTGTATTACTGCACCCTTTTAAACCAGCTATTCTATCAATGAAAACTATTGACATAGCTTTGTATTTAAAAGGATTTGCTTCCAGGACCATGTATTCTTTCACCTAGAGTAAGTGGTGGGGGAGACTTTTGTTGACAGACTGATTCACATTACCATCATCAATTTTTGTCATTCTGATGGACCAGGTAATCTGCAAGCCACTGCACAAGATAGAATCATTTACCTAAACCTGAAGAATCAGTTTATGAATTAGGATTGAGACTTTCCTCAATTTCATTTAGAAAATTCAAGACTCGCACATGTCTATTAAATTGAATATCGTTAATAAAATTATAGCTTCAGAAGCTATGGATCTCATGTTATTTGCAGTTCTTACCTCCTGTCTTTGAAAGGTAGAGTAAAAGTTTCCAAGATACAAGAATTTGTTACTTTCTCCCTTCTCCTCTTCATTCTCAGAGAGAGCAAGGAGTGATCATTTGTTAATTTCTAATTTTCCTAATTACAGATCAAATCAAAGATCTGATTTGCCAATTTAAATCTATAATAAACTGATGCTATAATTCCAACATGTTGCAAATATTATACTTTTGTTCACAGTCAAAATATGTCTGTAAAAAAATTCCATGTTACTGTTTGCACCAGTTTACCAGACATATTTACTACAGTCCTGTTGTATAAAAAAGTCAGCATGGCTCAGTCTGAATAATGACTAAGCTATGGGTTCGACGACCGAGAATTTGAGGTTAGATTTCCAGCAGAAGCAAGACATTCTTCTCTCCTCCAAAGCGTCTAGACCAGCCCTGGGGCCCACACAGTGTTCTCTTCCTTGGACATTGGTGGCTCCTTACCTAACAGTAACTGCCACAGTGTGAAGACAAGAAGCCACCAAAATACAGAGGTTAAGAATGCATACAGCTATACCTCCAGCTCCGAGATACTTTCATGGAATGGTGCTTAACTTGCTTTCTGCCATCTCAGTCAAGTGTCTCAGTTTGCTCTTGTGGGTGATCCATCTTTTTTGAATGCTTACATGAGATATGACACATCAGAGAGTAGTTCAAACGTTGTATTTTAATTTTTATCAAAGGAACATTCAAAACAGCCCATGAAGTGCACTCCATCAGTGGTAATGACAGATGGTGGTTCATGATGTCCACAGTGTCTTTGTGTGTTCTCTAAAATTCTCACAATAGACAGAGACTGTTTGCTTAAACAGCACTAACTGACTGGACTTTACACTGGAGATGTAGTGCACCCTCCTGTGTGGCAGGATGCGAGTAATGAAAAATTGTTTTGAAGACATTTCATCACCTGAGTGCTAGTACTCATATGTACTATATCCATCACCACCAATATGTGGGAAACTGGGTTTGAATTGAGAGAATCGACTACATTTTAAATGTTATTTAAGCAATGGAAGTGCATTATTTCATTTTTTCTCAAAAGTATACACAAAACACTCCAGTACTCAAGGGATGATTTGTGCTTCAAGGGGTAAAACGGTGATAAAGACCCATAGCTAATGCCATGTCTTGGTTATCTCTCACAATCATATGTGATGAACTACTAATAAAGTGATTTCAAAAACTTTAAAGTTAACTAAGTAACAAAGCAGCTGGCACATGCTCAGAAACTTACCAATTCCTGTCTTCCAGGTTATAATGCTGTGTAGTCCACTGAAAGTCAACTGACGTTTTGGAGGAACATACTGCCTCCATTGTCAGAGTCGAAGAATAAGTCGAACAAGAAACCAGCAAGCTCTGCTTGCCATCTGCTTTCATGCTGGTTTCTTGTTCGACTTATTCTTCAACCGTAAGGATGGAGATGTGTTCCTCCAAAACGTCCGTTGACTTTCAATGGGCTACGTGGTGTTATATCTCACAGGACAGTGATGTGTACTCATATTATACGATACCTGCTCATCATCTGGATCAGTGAGGAACTCCTGCATGATGTCACTCTCGGCAATGACACGAACTGCACACACTTTCTCCAGGTACTGTTCCAGGCCTCGGCGCCTTGCATCTAGTTGCTGTTCACTCAACCTGGATATATATACATGCACACAGTTAAATCACTGCTACCAGAAGGTTTCAGAAAGTCTCTCAGCGAAATTGCGATGCATTTGAAACATATTTCTGCAATAAATGCTGTCATATATTAGTGAACAGATGCGCGGTTTAGACAGATAACCGATTGTTTATAATGCATAACTACAAATAACTAAACAGTCTCACTGATTTATACGCTCTACAAATTGCTACAACTGTAGCACAGATAAGCCTTCTGTATGTTATTCTGTTGTAACTAGTCAAGGTAATGGCTGCTAACAATGGAAATTCCTCAGTTCAACCATGAACTGCCAATGCTCGCTTGCAACTCATGGCTGTCTGCTGTTGCTGCTGCTGCTCATTGCTATATAGCCTTGATGCGGGCCACAGGGAAAATACTTTTTCAGACAGTTCCTCTATTGCTGTGTGCTGAATCGTTGCTGTCGAAGCAGGTTTACCACGCCACTTTCTAGCAATGGCCACATACAAAACCCTGTGTCCTCTATTGCTGTGTCAGTATCTGTTCCTGTAGAAATTTGTTTACCATGCCGCTGCCTGAGCTGTGTGTAGGCTATTTAATAACACTATCAGTATTGAGACTATATAGTGTTGAATGATACATTAATGATGAACTGAAGTGGTCATGGCCTAATCAAGGTAGTATCTTGGAATTTTCCTCGAGGGATTCAGGAAAAGCACGAAAACCCTCGGTCAGGATAGGAAACTGTTCTGGCCAAGATTCAAACCTAGCACCTTCTAGATACAAGTTTAGAGTGTTACCACTACTGCAGACTGCTCAGTGGAATAGCTCAGTTGATATGGCAATGGGCTATAGGCTGGATGGCCAAGGAACTTGGGTTCATTCCTCGCAGAAGCAATGGATTCTTCTCTTCTCTGCAGCACTCAGACCAGCTCTAGACCCTCCTTACCTCCTATCCAATGGGTACCAGGGGTAAAGTGGCCGGGGCATGACACTGACCACTCACTTTCACATAGTGCTAAGGTTAAGACTATGTGCAGATATACCTTCACTCTCCTGTACATCATCATGACATGATGCTTAGTCAATTAAAAGATATGAACAGCTTTACCTTTATAATACTTCTGAATTATGTATGAATGGAATGCGCTTGAAACTCATGTAAAAAACTTACGTGAAAGGCCACTTCCCAGGCAGTTTAGGAAAATCAAAGCCAATGAATTCTTTCTTTAGGTTAAGATGTAGGTTAGAGAATTCCCTATACCTCCTCGAACAGAGGTGGCGTCCAGCCATGTAAATATTGAAAACCTGAAAATACATATTAAATATTCAGATAACAAGTTTCCTATTTTTCCTCTCTTTGTATGAGCAACACACTGTACATTTATGACTATAAGAATGATTAATTAGTCATTATAAACAGGTCTGAAAACCTCACTGCTGTATTCACTATAGATACAAAACTGTCTTACAGTACTCAGAATTTCTGAGTTTCTGGTTTTTTCCATGGTCTCATATTCTGGAGACTTGAAAACATGATGTTTGGGAAACTGGATCTGTTTCAGTACTCAAAGGGCCCAACTGAGTAGGTGTCTTCCCCCTTCACCTGAGGATGGAAACAGATCCAATTTCCAAAATGTTATGTTTTCATGTCTCTAGAATACCGGACAATGAAAAGAGTAAAAAAATCAAGTAATTCTGAGTGTTATACACCATCGTCAGAACCCTGCAGAATCTAGTAAGTAAAGTAAAGTTATCCCTGTAACAGGCCATGAAAGCCCATAGGGTTGTGAGACGTTGAGGGTCCCACATTATCTAGACAATCGGCTCAAGGATGGTGGTAAGGCTGTCAGCCTTATGCGCCGGCTGCGCTTTACTCCCCAGGAAAATTATTTATTTAATTCCTTGTACTCATTTCTGTTAGAGGCTGAGTGAACCCCAGGGCCATAATGCAGCCGGAAGGATTAGGTCCATTGAAAAAATCCAATGACCTCATCGGTATTTGAACCCATGACCTTCCGACTTGTAGCATAGTGCCTTAACCNGAAGAATTAGGTCAACTGGAAAAAATCCAATGACCTCATCGGTATCTGAACCCACGACCTTCCGACTTGTAGCATAGTGCCTTAACCACTATGCTACCGCGTAGTTAATTTTGAATATTCTCTGGAAGAGGTTTCAACAATTTCTGTTTAAATTTTAGAACTGCTGGAGGATCAAGAACCAGATAAATTAATGATACACCCAGAGAATATGGGCTTACATACAATTGTAAGTTCATCAGTATGCTACAGTTTCTCTCCGTGCTCCGGCCTATACAAAAATAATAAATGAGCCTTGGGGGATGTTCTCGAGAAGAGTTTCACAAGTTTATTTATGCCTTATTTAATGATGCTGTTGGCAGCTCAGACCACATAGCACAGAATGGTATTTTATTAGTGAATAATGAAATAGATGTGATACGGACAGGAAGTGAAGTGTGACCTAATTCAAGGTATTATTCCAGTATTTGTCTGGAGGGGCTGAGGAAAACAAGAAGGAACACCAGTTAACATAACCAGTCTCAAGACAAGATTTGAATCTGGGACCTCCAAATGACAAAGCAACAATTCTACCTGTCCCACTGCAGCACTCAAGAATATTGTGTCTGAGATGTGAAGCCATGTAATTTGGTAGATGTAACCAGCATTTCAAAGGAATCTGCTGTCTCCATCATCAGGACAGAAGCGTATGAGTATTCAAAGATGAAGTGAACAGAATCCTTTGAATGGTAACATTTACCAGATTCAGCGGCATTACATCCCACAAGACTGTAATGGTCAAATGCTACCTCATATGATGTGACAAACTGTAATCATATTTCTGAGCAGCTTCAATATTATAGAAACCAAAAGTCACAGTCAAGTGGGTTGCACTCCTGCCTTGAATTTAGAAGATCCAGAGCTCAAATATCAGCTTGGTGACCAGTAACACTCAAAAAGCTGTTCCATATTTTTCTTTAATGTGTCCAGGCAACTGTTGGTATAGTATGTCCAATCAGGACATTTCCTTCCATATTCTGTCCATTTAATTATTCACTGAACATCCTGTAATCTGATGCCACATATCCTGGGCTTGTCACAGCATCTTTAAATATACCACAAACAAATACATTTCAGTAAGAAGAAAATATATAAGACATAGATCCCACATTACCACATATCGCTCGCCTGCTTTCTCTGAGTAGTGATAGTCCGGAATGGAGATGGGTAGAGATCGTTTCTCACTGTAGTCAATGTACGTATAACCTGTCGGATCCTCTGCTGGCTCCAGTCTCTCTGCCTCCTGCAAGAAAAGTAGTACAAATGTAAACAGGTAACAATGACCAGTATCAGGTATTGTACTTCATTAATTTGAATTAAAAGTGTGTACTGAGTCAGATACAGGGGGCACGCAATAATGTAGTTGGCTGTGACACTATGCTACAAGCTGGAGGTTGTGGTTTCGATTCCTGATGAGGTCATTGGATTTTTCAATTGACCTAATCCTTGCAGCAGTACTATGGCCCTGGGTTTGATTCAGCCTCCGACAGAAATGAGTACCAGGAATCTTCCTGGGGGTAAAGGATGGATGGTGCATAAAGCTGACAACTTCACCACCATCTGTGAGCTGACTCTACAGACAACGTGGCAGCCTCAACGTCTCACAACCCTACAGGTCTCCATGGCCTGTTACAGGGATAGCTTTACCTTTACCTTACCTATGAGTTGGGGGTTGGATGGAAGGTGGACCACTTTGCTCTGTAAAAACATTACTGATGTGCAAACCAAAGATGTCAAAACTGGATGCTCTAATTCAAGATAAGTCTGGTAGAATCTTCTAAAGAAGGCTGTGATTAAAATAGAGATGTTTTATCGATGTGATGATGATGATGAAATATTTAGCTATGAATACTTTATATACCCCCAGAAATACATGCAGGTCTTAAGCATCCATTATCACTGTCCAATTTTAACCAAAACTGGAATGTGTACACAGATATCGGTAAAACTCTCAGTATTAAATTTCATGATAATCTGCTCAGCTGTTCTTAAGTTGTTACATTCAGACAGATGGATGGACAGATACAGCAAAGCTGAAGAACAGTCTTCTGCGATCTTTTTATAAATGTGCCATTAATATACAGTGATACTGCTGCAGACAGCAGACAGTAAACTTACTTGCTGAGTAACTGATATGACTGTGAGTGTGAGAACATCTCCCCCTGATTTAATTAGATCCACAACTTGCTTATGTGTTGCCCCTTCCACAGTCACCCCATTTCTGAAAGAAAACAAAAAAAAAATTCCAGTATCAATGTCATGAACTGAAAACAATGACGTCGGAAATTCTGGGGAGTAGAATACTGGGTTTCAAGTATACACTCATTATACAGTATTACAGTCTTTACAATTTGTAATAGATCTAAAATTACATTGTAAAAGTTACTTCCTTCTGCATGTAAATTTCCAGAACAATTCATATTGTAGCAAGTAGAACCACTGCTATGTAACGACTGTGAGATGAGCAGATATAACAGGGACTTTCTGGGCAACGGCTTGGTAAACATGTTCTGACTGCTAGGCAGCAGATTCTTAATAATACAACAGTTGGACTACAATGGAAGAACTGTTTTCTATGTGGTACGTGCTGACATGTTATAAGCAAGGGACAACGTCAGTTGATAGTTCTGTATGGGAGTCTGTTGAGCCAGAGGCAGAGGAATAGCCATTGTTGCAGCCATTACCAGGAAATGTCTAGTAACAGACTGAGAACACTAAGAATGTGTGCTCTAGTGAACTGTAAAGTGCGGAAATAGTGATAGTGTTACAGATATTTGTAGTTACAACCTGTAATTGTTCAATAAATCTATTCGCCAATCCATACCCCATCTATAGTCACTAATACAAGTGACAATATTGTCTTCTGGGTTTAGGTGCTGGGAAGCCTGGTATGTGGGTATCAACATTTTGGAGGAACTTGCAACCTTCCTCCTTGTCTTCTACCATGAATTCACTCATATTCCTCTATTACTCTGACCCAAAGCAATAGGATTAGTCATCTGCAGTTCTTGATAGCACCTGTCTGCAAATCTAAATTTGACAATGCTTGGAGAAAAAGAGTTCTATCTTCTAGGATATAACACTGTGAAGTCCACTGAAAGTCAACCAACATTTCAGAAGAACATATCCCTTCCACCTTCAGGGTAAAAAAATAAGCCAAATAAGAAAACGGGTGGTTTGGCTTATTCTACAACCCTGAGGATGGACAAGACATGTTCCTCAAAAACATCAGTTGGCTTTCAGTGGACTACATGGCGCTATATCCCAGAAGACAGAAATCTTCATGACCACCGCTGTGAGAACTTCAAATCACTTTCTCTTAGTTCGCTGTACTGATACTAAAATCGTTAATCTTGTACCATCATGCAAGGGCCTTTTACAACCTAGGAGAATTAACAGATACATTTTTTGTTATTTGGTTACATTTATTTATAATGTATCCCTCCAATTAACAAACTCATTTTTGATGTCTTAAAATACTCAAATAAATAAAACAGTAAGAAAGAAAAAAAAATGATGTACGAATTAATATTTACTTGAATTTGACAATTTTCTGTGACCAAAACAACGCTTCATTATGCATTATGTTGAGAGTCCGTTTTTTTTCATTTACCAGCAGTAATCTCTTATAAATATGTCAATATCTTAAGACTACCATTCTTAACGCATATGAGGTGATTTATTTTACTGCTTTTAAATGTTCCAGCACATATGGGCCACCTTCAGCTTGCCTGCATAAAAGGAAGTGCTTTAAAATTTTAAAGCACTTTACATGATTTGGCTGAAACATGTAAAGGCATTAAATTAAATTACTTCATTTGTGGTACATTAGATGGCACTGTTAGAAACCATCAACACATGCATAGTCGCTAAGATGTCACATATCAAAATAATTTCTGACTTTACTGTTGTATAACTGCTGTGGTATATTTGTGCATAGGTTCTTTAGTGCATAAAACAATTTGACTAGTATCATACCCATTTAAGGTTTACCAGAAAACGACTATTTTCATATCTTGATTCAAACGAAGAGCTGTTATCGCCACAGCATATAAAGTTCGTCTTCATGGAGCAGTTTTTGAAGGCAATGGGTAAGAATGTAGACTGTTGCAAGTACACACCTGAAGTGAATTCCCAGTTTTGCTTATAAGGTAGTTATAGAAGGAATTCTGGTCGAGCCTCAGGTCAGGAAGTTGACTTGCAATGATGAACAGTCTGAACAAAACACTATCATCATCATCATCATCATCATCATCATCATCATCATCATCATCATCATCATCATCATCATCATCATCATCATGTTTCAAGCCTTGTTTCTTGTGTTTCATCCTCTTGAAGAGCGTGTTGGTCCATCCACCATAACTGTGGGCTTCCTGTGTTTCATCATATTACTGTGTTGTATGTTAAAATATATATATTATTTTGGATATGTTTATCTTCCATTCTTAGAACGTGACAATTCTACCGTGATCTGTATTTTAGAATTGTATTATTTATATTAAAAACATTCAGTTATTAATTTCAGTAAGAGACGGGGATAGCTCAGTCGGTATAGCGAAAGGCTGTGGGCTGGACAGCCGTAGTTTGAATCCCAGTAGGAGCAAGATTTTTCTCTTTTCCACAATGTCCAGACCGGCTTTGGGCCCTCCCAGCCTCCCATTCAATGGGTACCGGGGGGCTCTTTCTCCAGGCGTAAAGCGGCCGTGGCGTGAAGCTGACCACTCACTTCCATCAAGTGCTGAGGTCAAGAAGAGTGGAGATATACCTTCACTCCCGCATGTCTTCATAACATAGTGCTTCATTAATTATGTACATGGGCAGCTTTTTACCTTTACATAAAAATTATTGTATTACAAAAATAAACGTTTATGTTTTTTGTCTTTACCCTACCATTAAGTTTGCAAATAAAAGGCAGCAGAAAAATAACAGCAGTAGAAGGCATGCCTGAATCGGTACTGAATGGTCTACCCTGGCGTCACTTCATGTATATTGTTATTCTATCAAGTTTAATATCTTGGTAGAGACACAGCTTTCTCTACGGAACTCAAGTTATTGAGGTTAGGTATATTTGGTGGTTTCTTTCTAACGCTCTCCTTTTGAAATTTTATTCAGCTTTATGTTAGTAACAGGGGCACACGGTAGCGTAGTTGGTTGAGGCACTATGCTACCAGCCAGAAGGTCGCGGGATCGAATCCCGATGAGATGGATTTTTTTTTGTCGATTTACCTAATCCTTCCAGCCGCACTATGGCCGTGGGGTCGACTCAGTCTCTAACAGAAATGAGTACGAGAAATATTCCTGGGGGTAATGGGCGGTCGGCGTGTAAGGCTGACAACCTCGCCGCCATCTGTGAGCCGACTGTCTAGAATATGTGGGAGCCTCGACGTCTCACAACCTTATGGACCTCCACGGCCTGTTACAGGGACAGCTTTACCATTTGTTATCCTAGTAACAATTAATATATCTCAAAATGAAATATCTGTATAATGCCTACGTACAGAATGGGATGGCACAGCGATAATGCTCTATACTCGCATTTTTATGTGCTCGGTTCAAATCTCGGCAGGGTGACCAGCCACAATGAATTTTCTCATAATTTTCCTCAGCCCTTCCAGGCACGTGCCGTTTTATTATCCCAATTGGGTCATGACTGCATCCTTCTAAACACTTTCCAATTCATTATTTACTGCCCATTTTTCCACTCCAATCTGTCACTGGCCACGCCATTCAACAACTCACAAAAGAAGAGACCTACAGATGAAGATCAAGTCTATTCAAAACAGATATCAGTATATGGAGGCAGAAGAGGGCTGTCAAGTGGATACTTTGTGGCCCAATTGCGTACTAAACAGACTGATTATACATACATTGCAAGTGACAGCTGACGTCAATCCTCACAAACAGTAAACCAAACAAGCTATATATGATGCAAAGTACATTCAACATCCAGTGCTTCGAATATAGACACTCGACTCCATTTATGCTGCATCTAAACAATTTCTGACGTCGCGTCATCAGATTCAATTCTCAAAAACTGTCTGCTGATGTAAAGTTTTATTTCAGAATTAATTTCTTGTTCATAGCACAAACCCTTCCTGTTTGTGCTAATGGAAGTTAGCAATTATTTCACTGTTTCCAGAATGGTGTGTCTTGTCACACTCACGCATCGCGTTGGATTTTCAGTTGTTGAGGTCACTGAATTTTTCAATTCTCCTAATCCTTCCATCCGCACTATGGCCCTGCAATCGACCCAGCCTCTAACAGAAATGAGTACCAGGAATCTTCCTGCGGGTAAAAGATGGCCGGCAGGCGCGTAAGGCTGAAAACCTCACAGCCATCTGTGAGTCAATTTTTTAGAAAGTGTGGAAGCCTCGACGTCTCACAACACTATGGACCTCCACGACCTCTTACAGAGATAGCTTTACAACATTCGATGTGAACCAAAATCACTATACAGGAAATATCTATGAATGCACAGACATTTTCTTCCGCGAGGTTTAATCACGGTATGAAGCATTCTAAAAGCTGCTTCAGACAGACCATACACAGATGTTACTAATGTCAGCAAGTAAAGGAAACAACGCCGGTCACGGTAGCCGAGCGGTCTAAGGCATGCACTGTCTTCAATCGCTCGGAAGCCGGGATCGTGGGTTCGAATGCCACTCAGGGCATGGATGTTTGTGTGCGTTTTTCTGTGTTTGTCTACAGGTAGAGGCCTTGCGACGAGCTGATCACTCGCCCAAAGGAGTCCTACCGCATGTGTAATAGTAAACCGAAGTGAAACGGAGAGTTTCATGGAGATAGGCCTAGGCCCAAATTGGGGCTGTAGCGCCACAGAAAAAAAAGGAAACAACGGTTATGCCAATGTTTATATAAAAATAATACAAAATATAGAAATGTATCCAGACTGACCTGATCTACATAGAAACCAAAATATCTTTATATGTTAACACTGAGTGTGCGAAATGTCTCTTTCGCAATGGAAAGTTGCAAAATGTCTATAATTTCGCTATGTCTGTCTGCATGTAACAAGTCGAGAACCGCAGAACATATTTTAATACAATTCGAATTTTGGGACTTCTACTACAAAATTTGTCGACATATTCCAGTTGCAGTTCAGGTCAGCAATAACGGCCTACATGCGTTTCCGAGTGCGTCTCACCAACACCTGCTGAAGCCATACATGTCTCGAGAAAACACTGCAGACACAACTGAATC